AGAACAGCATGAATCAGAGAGAACGGGAGAGCGCGCAGAACGAAGAGCTGGAGCGTGGAAATTGCGACCGACAGGTACCCCACCAGCCAAGCTTGGTCTTCCCCGCGTTACAGCTCCCCGCCAATAAAGAAAGCCACACACCTTAAAATAACTAGACCACAAGACATCAATAATCAATAAGCTCAGCGGGAGGACAAAAAAAGGGGGGGCCTCATCCCTCCAGGTGTCACACGCACGCCCTCCGACTCTGCAAACAGACACAGCGCCGCCCATCGGATCACGGGCGGGCGGTCCACAAGGCCCGGCCGCCCCGCTCCACGCACACGAAGGGACACGCACACGAAAAGGACACGCACACGATGGGACACGCATGCACGTACACACACCACACACACAAATACACACACACACACATAAACACACACGCACACGCACGCACGCCACACACACTCTCACTCTCACTCACTCACACTCACTCACTCACTCACTCACTCGCTCTCACTCTCTCTCTCTCTCTCTCTCTCTCTCTCTCTCTCTCCTCTCGTCTCTCACTCTCTCTCTCTCTCTCTCTCTCTCTCTCTCTCTCTCCTTCTCCCTCTCCCTCTCCCTCTTCCCTCTCCCTCTCCTCTCCCTCCCCTCTCCCTCTCTCCTCCCTTCTCCCTCTCCCCTCCTCTACTCTCTCCTCTCTCTCCCCTCTCTCTCTCCCCTCTCTCACATGCCGTCGTTAAAAACGCATATCTAGCCAGATAATCGCTTAACCTCGGCAGATGATCCAATCTGAACTCAAGACACGTACCACAAATGCATGCAGCCATACATGAAAAATGCATAAAGCACAAGGATACATAAAGTTCACACACACAAAACACAGCGACACACCACCGCTACCACACCACACGCAACGCCCACAGCACACAAACCACACACACACACCACAAACAACACACACGCAGAAAACAAACATCACCACATTACAAACAAACCACATACACATTACACACACACACACACACACACACACACACACCCACACACAACCACACACACGAAACACGCACAAAGCAGCCGTAATCGGAACTGATTTCACGTTCTGAGAATAACAAAACATCGCACCCGACTCGCGCCTGGAGAGGCGGGGCGGGGGGAGGGGAGAAGGCGGGGCGGGGGAGAGGGGGGCAGTGGGGGAGGTCATGGGGTAGAGGATGGGTAGAGGGAGGTTAGAGGGGGGTAGAGGGAGGTAGGGAGGGCGGTAGCAGGGGGGTAGAGCGAGTAGGAGGGGGGGTTAGCAGGGGAGGGTAGAGGGGGGGCAGGGCGTATGGGTAGAGCGGCGCTACGGGCGTAGAGGCGGGGCGGCGAGCAGGGGGGGCGGGGGAAGTAAAAGGCACCATAATATCCACCTTCGCGCGCCAGTTTTCTCGTATTTGTTCTCTTGACGCTGAACGGTTTTCTTTCTTTTTTTTCGTGTCCCTCTGTGTTATGCGGAGGACGGAGTAGCGTTTAGTGTGTGTGTGTGTGTAGCTTTTTTTTTATGTGGTGTGCTGTAGGTGTCCGTGTGTAGTGTCGTGTGTGTGACGCTGTGTGTGTGTGATGTGTGTGTGTGTGTGTGTGTGGGTGTGCCTTCGGTTGCGCGCGCGCTGGTATGCCTGTGTTTGTGTTTGTGTAAAACGCGTGTTAATGAGTGCGTGTGTCACGAGGGCCGTGCCCCCCCTCTCCCCACCAGTGCGCGTAGAGCCCAGATTAAACAGGCAATGCTCGCGCCGAAAGGAAAGGTAAGCGCTGGAGGGATAAGGACGCGAGGGCAGCACGGAAAGAGGAGGCAGCAAGCAGGAGGGCAGGAGGGAAGAGGTGAGGAGGAGGAATAAGAGAAGGTGGGCAGGGAAGAGGGAGGGCAGGAGGGAAGAGGGCAGGCAAGAGGGAGGGCAGGAGGAATAAGGAAGCGTGATCCGGCAGGAAGAGGGCAGAGGCAGGAGGAATAAGGAAGCGTGGGCAGGGAAGAGGAGGGAGGACGGAAAGGCAGGCAAGAGGTCGAGGGCCAGCGAGGGAATAAGGAAGCGTGGGCAGGGAAGAGGAGGGCAGGAGGGAATAAGGAGGCAGGGCAGCGGAAGAGGGAGGGCAGCGAGGGCAATACGGAGGAGGACAGGCAGCGAGGAATAAGCGAAGGGAGGCCAGGCAGGGCAGGGAAGAGGAGGGCAGGAGGGAAATAAGGAGGAGGGCAGGCAGAGAGGAATAAGGAGGCGAGCAAGCAGGGAGGGCAGGAGGGAATAAGGAGGAGCGCAGGCAGAAGGGCAGGCCGCCGCGCGTTGCGCCACCCGTGCGGCGGGCGGCGGGCGCGGCGGCGGGCGCGGCTGGGGTCACGGCCAGTAACA